AAGGCAAAAATTTTGAATTCTTCCTTTTCTTCTTAGAGTTATGTTTATAAAACTCATTTTTTAAACTCGCATTACCCCGCTCCCAATTTCTTAGCTTTCTTGATTGATATGAACGTTTATGAAACAGTCAATGTAGGAAGTTAACTGGAACCTATGAATCATAAATTCCTTCAAACTATAAACTAACAAAATATTATAGCAAGGGTGACTAGAAACAAACCCCCTGTCCTAATTCAAAAAGAATTAGCACACACTCTGGGTTTTTAGGTTTGTTTTTTTTTTTTACTACAGCATCAGCTTAGTTTGTTATTCAGCCTCTTCCAATTCACTGATTTCTGGTGCTGTGTAAGGTGGTAGAGAAGTTTGCAGGAAGAAATGGACAAATCCTAGGTAGCACCTTAGGAATGAAGGTGATGGATATGGGGTGCCTCGTTAGATTGTTCGTTTGTATAGTCAGTAAATGAAATTTATTGACTAGCCTTTATGGGCAACACTATAGGAGATTGATTCAGGTAGATTTGCTATGGCATAGAAATAAATAGCAACTGAACACGAAATGTTAAATGAGATCATCTAGATGAAGATATCTTACCTGGAAGGTCTCAGTGGCCTGTGTAGTGGGAGAGATAAGCTAGGTTCCTTGGAAGAGACTCCAATATCTGCATCAGGAGAAATCTGAGGAGTGGAGATGAATAAGTGAGCCTAACAAACCATCTATCTCTGGGAAACTTGGGCTCAAAATCAGTCTTTAATATTAGACATCAAGTTCAAGTACATAGAAAAGCAGATTCTGAGGAAAATTTGTTAGGAAACAATTTTAAACTTCAAAAACTAAAGTGATTCTTCATGAATTTCAAGGTAATAAAGTCCTTCCGTGAAATTTATTTGATAATAATTCATGGAAATTACTCCACTTTTAACATTGGGTTTTGTTTTTTAATGAATACTAGTCAGACTTTTTTGCAAACTCAGTTGTTTACTGGTTTTTGACTATTGATGAAACCTTTGAAAATAAACTACTTTAGTGCTATTTCATCTAATATACAAAGAGAACCCAAGAAAAACTGGAAAAAAAAAAATTCCCCTTTTTTACCCCTTACTTTCAAAGTTAACAGTAGTGCTTAAATTCATATCTTCATGGAGTTTGGGATTTTATTTGTAAAAATAAATGTGATTACACAATTTTTTTCTTATGCCATATGAGCCTGTGCAGAATTTGTCTAAAATTGAAAGAAAAAATTGCAACATAGTCATTTAAAACAAAAATCTTTTCCAGGTTCTTTCTTACTAGATTTTTGTTTCTCCTCATTTTTCTGTCCGGTCAGTTGACTAAAGCAATCTTCTTTAGCCCTAATTCTGTTCTTAATTGCCTTCTTCATTCCACCAAATACCCCACAAGACTGNGGGCCCTCTGGCATCCCAAGCCAGCTCTTAACCAATGTGCCACACGGCTGGCCCACAAATAGTGAATTTTAATTCTGTCATCCCTTCCCTCACCCTTCGATAAAGAAGAGCCGTCCCTCATCGAATAGGCATGAACTACACACTTTCTCCTAAAAAAAGCTTAGTGCTTTTGTGCCTTTAATTACTGATTTTCAGAACAAGAAATTAATGTAATAGTCACTTCCAATGGTAGCAACAGAGATATTTTTCCTTTTCTAAGCATTATATGGATTCATTGATTTCTTTTTTTATACTCAGTGTTTTTTTTAAAAAAATCAAAGCAATTTACAACTACAAAGTATAATTTATTTATTTTTTTAATTTAGTGAGGCTAAATGTGAAGCCTAAGTCCTAATGGACTATAGACTGAATGGAGTGGGGGTGGGGTTAATCAGAATAATGTTTTCTTTAAAGTACATGTTATTAAAGATCATAATCTTTTTTTTTTACATTTATGAGATGCACTTTCCTGAAAGTCTCTGGTACCTTAACCAGAGAATAACTGAAAACAAGAATGTCAAAAAGGCACATTTAAATTGTTCTCAAAATCAATCAAAAATAATGAGGTGCTGGGAAAAAGTTGTATCCTTGATAATTACATCTATCAGTATCAGAAAACAAAAGAGAACAATCAGGAAATGACAACCCCACTCCCAAGTAGCACATTAAAAAAGGCTAATGAAAAAAGTCTCTTTTAAAAATTGTACTAAATTAGCATTTCAAGTCAATTGACAACTTAAGCTTCATAAAGGCCAATCTGGGGCCCAAACAATGGAAGTTCTGTTTCCACTTTCATCTGCTTCTATAAGAAGTGATCTCGCAACTTGTTTGGTTGTTGTTGTTGTCTTCTATATAAATGGAAGTAATTGTCCTGAGGGAGGTGACAGTCCTGCGACCTCTGCAAGGCTCAGGGCACCCCTGAAGTACTGTGCTTAATTTGGGGTTCTATTTGTTAAATGGTTGACCTGGGAGAAAGTAAACAGAATGGTGGAAGTTGTTCAAAGCATTTCTTACACCATACCTCTGTTTTCAGTCTGAAAAGGGGTTAATGTCACTGTCGTATTAGACAAGGGATTCAACCTGCTCTTTATAGCTCCAGAGTGTTGAGTTGGGACAAGTGGGTGAAATTAGCAGAAAAGCAGATTTGAGCCTAGAATTAGGAAGAATTCCTTCATAAACTCAGCTGTACAGAGCTGGAATGGATGTACCTCCAAGGGAATGAACTCCCCAAGGCCAACTCTGTTCAGAGGTTATAATCACTTAAAGTCGGTGTACAGGTGGGCAGGAGTCCTTTCAAATATTTTGCTAAGAGTCTATAATTATAATAAGGGATTCTTTAAAGGTCATTCAAACTTACTTTTAAAAAAACTGTTGAGGGTAAAATTGAATTTTATACCATGGCTTTAAAAAGAAAACCTTAACACATCCCAATTTGCATATCATTGCTTTGTATTTGGGAAATGTGAGATGTGTGGGGAGGCGAAGTTCTAGCTACAGCATTTTAAGATCATGGTACATTGTTTTTGACCACCTTAAATTCTTAATTCATCTAGCCCCAAATTTAGGAGCCCCTAGATAAGAATATGACTTTGTTAAAAAGAATAGAAATACTATCTTAAGGGTAGAATTAGTATTTGAATTATCAGTAGTGACAAAAACATTTTCTTTCAATGATAAAAGAAAATATATACATAGCTCTTCAAATGTGTCAGTTCATTTTGAAGGTAGTCGTAAGTGCTGGTATTTTATTATTTTCTCTTGTCAAGTGATTTTATTCTTTATTATTAAACCAAGGGAAAAAAAGCCCTAGTATATTCTGCCAACATATTCATCAGTCATCATTTTTGGAGACAGTTTTCGACATATTGTATGTTTTACTGTGCTAACAAGAGAAAAGACTAGCCATTAAGTTTATGTTTCTTTGTTTTTCAGCAAGGTCACATATCAGGAATAATGCTAGAAGTATGCTAATAAACAATATATAATGCAGGTCATCTGGGAGTAAGAAATATTTTCTAACTAGTTCTAAAGGGAAATATTGTTTAAAAAAGGGATAGATGTTATTTACGCAACACATGTTGCTCTATATGTTACCATCAAAAGCATCTTGTAAACAGCTTAGCGCAGTAAATCTTCCTTGATGATTGTCAGGGTTTTTCAAGTCTGTGTTAGATTTAGATTCAGCACATTCAATTCACAATATGCCTAATGTACAAAGTATTTTAGATTATTTAGAAAGCTTCCATTAGAAATATTCCTGCACATCTGTATTTTACAAGGAGCATCATCCTCTGCTGCAGAAGCAAAGAATATATTAAGTGCAACAATTAAGAAAATTCTACATTAATGGCATTTATAGTTTTAATCACTAATGAAATGACACTACATTTTTGTGCTTAATTTTTTTTGTTGACTTCTTTAAAATTAATTGCAATTTACAGACTGATATTTCCTATTGCTACCATTAATAAAACAATTTTATATGACTGCAGATGAAATGATAAGTTCTGTAAGAATGCCTTAAAAAATGTGATTGATGTGACTTTACAAATGTTATTTTCTCACTGTTGGGAGATTTTCAAAATGGCTTTGTTTTATAATAGTTTATTTTGTTTTCCAAGATGGTTTTTAATTGTAAATATCAAGTTTCATCATAAAGGAATTTATGTAACTGTGTTCTGGAAAACATAACCGATACTTTATTTATTGAGTGCATCTAATATGCACCGAACCATATGGGGGTCACAATAATAAAGATGTGAAATCATAAAGACTGCTTTATTTTAGAGCTTAGCATTTAGAATCAAGAGAGCTTATTTCTCTTCCCAGCTGTAGGGCACTATGACATCAGGCAAATCTTTCTACTTCCCTGGGCCTCAGTTTCTTTATTTATGGTACAAGAGTTATAATAAATCCTGCTCTATCCACTTTCCAGGATTGTTGTGTAAAATGATAAAATGGTGTTAGAATGTTCCATATGATATGAAATGGTATGCTTTCTTTATAGGAGAAAATAATGTATTTAAATGCTAGTACTTAGCAATTTCTGAAACATTATCTAGATTTCAGATTTTAGCTAAAAATTATAATCTCTACATCTCTTAGCTAGATTCTATGACTCTTAATTTACTGGCCATTTTACTTAGGGATATCTAGAAGCAACACCACAGGTATTTTAGTTGGAATGAATACCTGACCTTCAAAGACATCAGTTTCTGAAACTCAGCCATGTGTTAACAGATTTTTTTTTTAATACTAACTTCTGTTTTTGAGTTTAGGAATCTTTAAGAATATATTATGCCATAATTATGTGCCTTCATTTATTCTAAGTGTTTGCAGCTTAGAGTGTTGGGATCAAGTTACAAAGTCTTAGTAAGGAACTCATGGAACTTTGCCCAAGCAGCCCCACAGTAGCTTAGTTAGCAACATATGTAAGACCAGCATCTCAAAAAAAAAAAAAAAGCTGTGATACAGCTGGGTTTTTTTTGTTTTTTTAAAAGAAAACAATAAAGAGTGCATGTGTGTCTAAGTAATTCTGTTTATACTTGTTTTCTCAGAAGAAGACCTATCAGTGCATCAAGTGTCAGATGGTTTTCTACAATGAATGGGATATTCAGGTTCACGTTGCAAATCACATGATTGGTGAGTGACATTCTAAACCTTATTACAGATAGATTTTTCTCCTACTTGTGTGCATCAATGCCTATATAATTAAACAGAGTTAAAGATGAATTAATTGTTCAACCATCAATGTTTTACCTAAGCATGATTGATTTTTTTATTACTATTATTAGGCCTGATAAGGCATTAGCACATTTTGTTTTCTGCAAGGGCTAGTTTAGACTTCTGCAGAGGATTATATATCTACTGCCAGTCAAAACACAGGTGATTAACAAATTAAACTTAATCATTTTTGCATTATTGAAAACTAACAGGAATGGTTAATGAACTGGATGTTAGCTTTCCATAGAGTTTTAGACAGGTTTTAATTTCAGAAGTTATTATGGTAATGGCACTGCTGTGTGTTGCTTAAGCATCTTTGTATCAAAATCTAAAGTGGTGAGTTTTTGAGATAGGGGAACATAAATAATTTAAATTGCCATAAACTAGTTTTATATGTATGGTTTCAACAGCCTGGAAATAATCATGATTAAAAAGATCATGTAAAGAATTCAGTAATCATTTTTTATTCCCCACCAAATTTTACATAGCTCTTTATAACAGCGGTTTGGGTAAAGATCTCTGAGGTCACTCTAGCCCAGTGTTTTCAGGGATTTTGCATTTATCACATGGGCTAGAGCTAAAAGGATAATTTTTTCACTTATTCATAATGTCCCATTATCCCTTAATTCCTTTGGGGTTACCTCCTATGTCTTTTAATTTGATATGCACTTAGTAATAACACTAAGAGTTTTACCAGCCAATTAAACTTTATCAAGCAGATCTTTTTCTACTAGTAAAATGACAATTGCTATTACTTTATACTATTTTTTCTTATTACTTTGTTTTCATACTATGATAATTTTTTTATTTCATACTCATTTTGTGGTATTTTATAATACCATAAGTAATTGTGTTATAATATTTTTAAAAGTCTAATTAGCCTCATGCTCTCCTATTATCAAACTCTATGACAAGAAAGACAATTCAACATTTTAGACTTTGAAAATGTTTTCAGGGGTAAATAAGTTTTATTATACACTTATCAGAGCATTCTAGGAATGTTCAGTGGGATGGGTTGCTCAAACTATCATTACTGATCAGTAAAACCAATCATAACAAAACTTCTAAGGCTCTTGTAGATATTGATAAAGATAAATTCAAAAACATGTTGGAAATGGATTAATAGTTTTTCAATAGGATTCACTGTATAGTTTTGAAATGATGGGTCTTTAGAAGGATTATTGCTTATAAGAGACTAAGTGCTTAATTGTGCAAAGTAAAATATATACATAACAGCTGAAATATTGATCACTGTACCTCTATATTTTCCAGGTTTAAGTACTAATATCATTAGTGATTTTCTTGTACAATAAATAGCATATTCTTAAATGTGACAGAATAACATTGACAACTTTACTGAGTGTTTAAAAGATAATGGCAACATTTATGAGAGATTCAAGTAATATATTTTCTTGCAATTAACTTCCATTTTGGATTACCAAAAAAATATTCTACATAAACTTTCAAAACTGCTTTGGGGGTGTGGTGATATGTTAGAAAAAAATGAATTCTTCTTGACAGATGATAAATGTTAATGTTTTCCATCTCTTTATTTCTTGAGTATATTGGTGCCAGTCATTCATGATTCTGCTTCATGCTACAGTTTTACATGGACTTCAGTGAAGACATTTCTTTTCAGTTTATGGAAAATTTAGTGAAACTTTGTGGGTCAGGCTTCTGATTAGTTTTAGTCTACGTAAACTTATTTTTGGTTCTGGATTTATTATTTATCTCAGGACCCAGATGAACCGATTAGATGTATTTTTGCCACAATATTAATGTTCTTGGGCATCTGTAGAATCTGATTTGAATGTTGGGCCGAGAGGACTTTTTGATTTTCCAGTTTTAGTATCATTTGTCCATCACATTCATTGGTTTGTCCTGGTCCCTCTTTTTAAATTGCTGTATACCTTCCCCTTTGTATTTCTCTTAAACCCCTTGCATCATTAGTGCTTTCCCAAGGCTTTTCCCCTCTACCTATAGTGGATTAATATGACACTTACCTTCTCTTGGGATCTGAGCATTTAACAATTCACCTTCCATCAGAGAAGCAAATTCTACTCCTTTTCACAGAGGACCTAGTTATTTAATATTCATGCTATTTTTAATAATAAAATATGTAATTCTTTTGCACTTGAGGCCTAAACAAATGAATAGCATCTATTTAATTGTTCTATCTGTTGACCATGCATCCAAGTCCTTAAACTCCCTTCGTATTGTTAATATCTAGAGAGAGAGAGAATGTGTAACGGGGAGGATGTCACAAAGGCTAAGATATCATTTTTAAAAATCCCAGTGTGATACTTAGTCTTTCAAATGAGGCAGGCAGCATTGTTTTGTTGGCTAAAATACCTTCATTGAGGGTAGGTATTTTTAGGTTGGGTATCTGTGTATGTTTTTTGTCTAATCAAAAAATAATCTCAACTAGACTGTTAGCAGGAAAGAGGAATTAGAGGCTATCTGAAAAGCCTCTTACTCTTTTTGTTAAGAGGGCATATAGTGTTTTTACAGATTTTGTTTTATATTTCAATCAGTCTGAAGGAAGGATTCTGTCACCTGATGGAAAATAAAGTCTGCAGATGACTCAATGAGGTGTAACTTTAAATTCCCTTTTTAACAAAGTCATTTGCATTTACTTCTATGTAGCACACATGTTTTAATGCAATTTCAGTGTCAGGCAACCTCCCCGCTTCTTTCTGGATGTGCTGGTCTCAGGCTATTGGCCAGGGACATTTGTGAAAGGAAAACCATCAATGTTTCTACCAGGTACATATTGGAGACGCTCTGCTTAAGTGCCGTTTTGCAGCAAGGTGTGGACACATGGTCCGAGTTGCAGGAATAATTACTCAATAAAAATGCATTAGGGATTTGACTTATGTCTATTAAGGAAAAAAAGGAAACCTCACTCTCCACCACATTTTGACACAGTTTCAGTAAGAAATCAGACCAGTGACTATTTAGGGGTTTCTTTTCTTCTTTACACACACAAAAAAAGAGCTACAAAACATTTTAACAGCTTTCCTGGGGAAAAGACTTTCCTCTTTCAAAGTCTGCACAGATGAGAAAATTTTTCTTGTCTTCCTTTGTTCCTTTCACATAGTTTACATTGACTTTTGACCTGAGAATACAGAAAGAAGCCATTGTGTATTCTGTCCTTTAATTCATTATTCACCGTCCCTCTCTATCAGCATAGTAAATATTTATTGGTATTTTCCTCTTTGAGGTTTCTGTTATTATTGTTATTATTATTTGGTATGGATTAGTACAGACAGAGATGGAAACCAGAGAATTTAAATGTGTTTAACCCAGCAAAGGGATTGCCTCATATAAAATTATGAGGCTCAACAGCAGTAGAGTAAATTTGTAAGTGCTCAGAATAAAGGGCTGTTAGGCATGCGATAATATAAAGAGATGACATTGCCAAGAACTATTTATGAGGAGCTTAATTTTTTCACTCTGATAATTCTTGACCAATAATTACCAGTCTCTAATTATCTATTTCAGTTAGAAAGAAATTTCGATCACTATGGAGGTTGGCATTGCAGCTAGCGCATAAATCCCCAAAGAGACGAATGTGTTCCAAACAGCCACAAACAACTGTCTCATGAAACATAGTGAGCAAATTGCGAGCGGCTGGTGGTAGACAACCAGCAGTACACACACCATCGAAGGCCAGTCAGCTTGACAAAGAAATGATCAAAGGGGAAAAATGCTATTATCCTTGGAACTGATTGCTGCAGTCATGGACTTTGGAGGACATGTGGTCAGGATAGAGCCATGGCCATTTTCAGCCCTCCCTTTGAAAGTTCTCGGATGGAGAATTTGAAGGGAATGGGAACTAGCCATTTATCTAAGAATAATTTTTAAAAATCAACGTAGAAATTATCAGTTATTTTTTATCTGATTAGAAAGACCCATATTATAATGGCAAAATTGTATCTAAGGTGATATAGTACCCTGTTGTGTGAAAAAAAAATAGGAAAATCCAGAAATAGTCACCAATAAACACGTCCCAGATGAATCAAGGATGATGTTTAGAGCATTTGGGGGAAGCAAATGTATTTATCTCTTAGAAAAGTAAAACTAGAATTTAGGACTATGAATGACAACTAATGTGAAAGAAAACACTGATGCAAAAATATTGACTATTTTTATTCAAATCTCTAATACTCAGTGTTTTATCGATAGTTACAATTTTTAAGATCATGAAAAGATTCAGATCTTCTACAATGCACGTGAGAAGATATGTACCCTATGTGTTATGTTACACATGATATATATCACTAGTGTAAAGACAAAAAGAATGCATAAATCAGTTTTGTACAGTGTGGTGAAATTTAGTCTGCTTTTGTGGCACGTGACATTCATACGTTCTGCAATTTGTTTGATGCCTAAGGTCACAAATGGCATTCTTTTCCTTCCATTTCTTTAGTGGATGGTGTGCTACATGACTAATCTTCATTATAGTTTTGTGACATTCAGTATCACCTCTGAAACATTGCAGCTTGAGTGCTGTTGCTTTATATTAGACTAACACCAATATTTTGAGGTCTATAGTGGTTTTGGATTTTATGTCTTAGCGGCAAATATCTAAATATATGGATCTTTGCATAGGAAGATAAAGGGCTGTGTTACCCTATAAACTCTCAGTGTTCATTGGCTGTTTAAAAAAAAAGAATAGAAATGAATCTACAATAATGCATACATGTGTGGGTGTATATATTATATGTATATACCTGCATTATCCTAAGAAGCTCAAAGTCATTATGTTCTTTGGAGTTTACATTAATTCTAAACGAGAAGACTATTGAAATTTTTTAAAGTCATCTTCATTTGATTGCTTACAAAACTCAGGGAATTAAGAAACAAGCATTTGGTGTTAAATATGATGAAATTCTGGCTTATTTCATCAAGAGCTG